ATAATAATAAAGGTATCATAAATAGCCATAAAATTATAAATTAATAATGCTTTAATTATGGAAATCAAATTGTCTCTAATTTAATATACAAGTCTATGTATTGTAAAAACTAACATACTAATATATATGTATATTAAATATATTTTTAATCTCTATAAAATTAATAAATTTTGATTTTAGTTCCTGTAAAATCATTTCTTTATTTTTTATTCTTATAAAAAATTTTAGGAACTAAAGACATATTTAAATATACATATATATATATATATATATATAACAAAAATAAAATTTGTTCATATTAATGAAATTAAAAATATATTTAAATTTTAAAAAATAGATCAAATTTAAAATTCGCGTACTTAATGTTTTCAAAATAAAACCAAATACTAAATTGGTCAAAATATTAATCCAAATTTCAATAATTATGATTCAATTATTGTCTAATTATGATTCAACCGGTATCAATAAAATAATTACAAACAAATAGTATTAGAAAAATATAATATCATCATTTTAGACTACTAAAAACTGTAAATAAAATGCCATTATTAAACAAACTTTTCCTTCTTATAAATGTTATAAAAGGAAGAAAAATAGAGAGAACAAATAAGACAATGTAAGATAGAGAAAATAATCTAACTGGTGTATTATCTTTGGGAGAGGACTAACCTATGTATGTAATATGTAGAATGTATCGCATCAATAAAACGTAGATTTTTCTCACTTCTGATGAAAAAAAATAAATTAATAAAATAATAGAGTTTGAACATTCTTCTTTGACAATGTCTTCTAATCATTTCAAAAATGTATGAAGAATTTCTTTATTTCATAGTGTTTTTGGGACTACTATAATGTCTTCAGGACTACTTTGATTCATAATAATGTAAATAATATAAATATTTGATAAAGTTCTTATTATGAAAGATGAATAGCTAACCTTAAAATATTTGTCTTGATAAATATGATCTTCTTGAAGAAAATTCTTCACAGCTTTCTCTTGTAGTTGTAACACCAATTAAAAGACTATCGTGCCGATAACGTGTTATAAAAGGAAGAAAAATAGAGAGAACAAATAAGACAATGTAAGATAGAGAAAATAATCTAACTGGTGTATTATCTTTGGGAGAGGACTAACCTATTTATAAGTACATGTAGTAACTGAACAATTACAAATAAAGAGAATAATACATAACAGAAATATAAATAGTAATGATTGATAATGAATATTGGCATCCACTAATTAAACCACTAATTATTATTCATAACAATAAAATCATAATTGATAAGCTATAATCAATATTATAAATCTCTTTTATGAAATCACCACATGCATTCGCACTCAATGACAATCTTCAATTCTCACACATTTCACTTTGCATTGACCGGTTCTTTATCAATCTGGTTTTCTGGTTTAATTGGACTGAACATAGGACCAGTATTACAGTATCCGATTTTTAAATCACAAATATACCTTTCAGTCCTGTGATTTTTTTTTTTTTTTTTATATAGCTCTAACTCACATAAATCAAAACTAAATAAGATGAAGTAGAGCATTTTAACAACTAACCAATTCGCTAGGATAATAAAAAAGTAATTGACTCTATTCTTATTACCTTATTATAACAAGACTTTGAGCTTGATACGTGATAGTTCCTACGAATTGGAAAATGCTGATTGGCACGAACACATAAATCAGTGAAATTATATGTACAATTTTGTGGTTATCGTTATACTTAAAGTGGAAACACGTGGAAATATTATCATATCTGATTCACTGTCAAACACAAACAACCTAACTACACTGTGAGTGAGAAAATTGGATTTATATTTTAAAATAGAAAAACTAAAAGTTCATGCCGGCACTTCACATATGGTGGGGTTCACAGAAGTGAGCTTTCCTTATAAACTTAGCACACAAGGTTGCTTCAACGCTGTCAATTATGCCGAAAGCGATATACTTAGACTAGGAAATTGCATCCTTTTGGATTATGTTTGATTACATTTCAACTTGTGCCTATCTTTCTTGACCAATATCAATGCATATATGATTTTGTTTGGAATTGTTAAAATTGGAACTGATCTAATTTGATTTGATTATCGAATATATCAGAAGCATATAAATATATGAAAAGTATCCTTTTAATTTTTTTCCTTAACCCTAATTAGAATAGGTATTTTTATAAGTATAAAATTATCAATATATTAAAACTAAAATCAGAATCAATGAATTTTCAAATACATGAACTTTAAATTAACATGGTTTCTAAATGAAATCTATTCATATTTTAAACTTCCCAACTGAATAAAATGATCATATATAAATCAAAATCAATTTCCTTTTGATTAGTTATTCCAAACAGACTGCACGCTCCACGTTCGATGCAATACAAATCAAACATATGTTACTTGAGTCCTTCCTTTGACTAATGATGTGGCAATGTGACACTACGAAGATAATGGAAACTTGATATGCAAGAAATTATATAAAACTACTGTGCATGAAAACTTCCTTCCCCATAAAAACAATTTCTTAGTTCTAACTCTCCCACATGTGAAAGTGAACCTTGTTCCAATCCATTTCTCCCCTTCTTTCTTCTATCACCTTTCCAACCAAAAGCTTTTGTTAGGATGTCTCGTCCGAGGCTAGGTAAAAAGCTTCAACCTGCTAAGAAGGCTTGGAAGAGCTTTTCCAACAAACTGCAATCAAAACTCCACAAACTCAACATTCGAAAAGCCATCAAAGCCACCTTCAAACGCCTCCTTGACACCTTGAATTCCCTTCGCCACTTAATACCCTCGAAGGGTCGTCGCTCTCTCACCAGTAGAAGACCAGATGCTGCTTCTAATTACCATGTTCATAGCAAGAACATATCTGCCATACGCATAGATGACCTCTTTACTGAGCCTGCTTCTTCCATGCATGTGCATGCCAACAAGACTCATGTACAAGGGGAAACAAGCAGAGGCAAAGAGGTGATTGGCAAGAAAGATTTGGCAGGAGGGAACAATGATATGAATACTATTGAAGATGTATGGAAGGCTGTGGTGGCTAAGTCACCTCAGCTGCAGGTGGATGAGAAGGCAGAGGAGTTCATTTCCAAGTTTCGTGAAGATATGAGGCTTCAGAAGGAGAGATCCATGCTGGAATTTCAGGAAATGCTAGCCCGAGGTGTCTGAAATTTATGTCCAATATTCTGTCACGCAGTACAAGATTCATAGTGACTTTTGTCTATAGAGCATTGTTTGGGATTGTGTTCTTTGCTTTGGATTCTGTTGAAGGTAGACTAGTTAAAGTGGTCTCTCTTTTTTTTGCCAAAAATCTGGGACAAGATATATTTATTCTTTTAGGATTTCGTCAGGAATATTTTTCTTTTCTCATCGTTTTTATCCTTCATTCTAGTAACCCACAAATATGTAATCAATTGTGCATTAACATGTATCGGATAAACAGCTTGTATACCTGTATGCATTTTATCTAGGTTTTTTTTTTTTTTTTTATCGTCTATTTGATCTAGTTTTTCTTAAAAATGTAGTTGCAGGACATTCTTTTTAGTGTTAAAGATAAGACTTCCTCTTTGACATATGTAGGTAAAAAGTAAAGCAGAGCATGAAGACCTGAAATTATTGTTGATTATTGACAGAGATTAAGCGCCTCTTTGACAAACCATCAGAATCAATTCCTCCTATAAAATGTTTTAATGTAAACCTGGAATTGGAGACTATTTCAGACAAACAATTTACGATCAATAATTCAAAAAAAAATTTACTCTAAAATAAACGAGTCTAAAATGAGGTTGAAGAATGGAGTCATTACTATACACATTCTTGGGGTGGTACGTGCTTGTGCTTCCAACCCATAGACCAAATATTTGCAGTGTCCCATCCCAGTTACAACAGATTGGAAGGCTCTAAAAAGTAAAAACGAATATTTAAATCATCAGCTAGAACAAAATCATCGCAGCCTCACCTCACTGACCCCTATCTCATTTAAAAGACAAATTGATGACCTTCAACGGCTTAGCAATTGTTTTACGTTTTTTCAAACTCATATAGCAAACACCCGAAAGAAAAAAGACACCTAATGCAGAAAATCTTTCATGGGATCATCGTGATGAATCTTTTTCATGCGATATGCCTCCATCTCCTCAGGAGTGACCTGAAAAACGCATTATCGTGTCAAACACAGAAAATAAATCTCCTCAAAAGCTGAGTGCATTGTGGATTAACAAACAATAGCAAAATAGAAACATTACCTCATCATTCCATCTAACATTATACTTGCGTTTCCTTTCATCTTTCTCCTCCCTCTTTCTTTCATCCTCCTGACCAATCAAAAACGATTGCTTAATAAAGTAAAAAGGATGAAATCATTATTCATAACAACATATTTTCAAAATGTCAAGTTCCAAAACTTAGGAGCAATGCCAGTGAATTGCATGATATCTAAATAGGAATGGAAACTCAAAAGGTAAATGAAAATAAATAAATAAATAACTAAAACAATAATGACCTTTTTAAGTGCCTCAGCAAGTTTTTTCTGGTTCAGAACCAGGTCAGCTGGTAAATCAGTTCCCCAACTAGCAAGCCTTTTTTCCTCTGCTGGAGCATGAGTATCTGCATTTATTTTTTGAAACACATGCATGTTAATATAAGAAGTCACTCTGAATTATATTACATTTCATCGTATGATATAGCAAGCACTTAATACAGTCGACAAACAACATAAATCATACCAAATTCAAGGAGTACTAATGTACTATACAAAGATAATAGAAAAGAGGACAGAGGGAGATGAAATAAACAGAATACATGATAATCACATGGCAACGTTGCAAATAAAGAATGATATCACAGAAGAATGTTCTAAAATTGGATAAATAGGAAGACTTGCCTTCAGATGCTGCTTTCCGATCAATGTTTGCCATCATTAAATCTGCTACTGCCTCAGCAGCCTCAATTCCAGCTGCCCCAGTGCAGTAACTGTTCCGTATAGTTTGCTTACAACATTTGTAGCCCCATTGGTGATCCTTCCACCATGAACCCCATACACTTGTATGATTATTAATGTATATATCTTCTTCATACTTGCTTTTTGGGATAGATGTTTCCTACAGACAAAAAACCAAAAATAAAATCAACCACCAGAAATCTTTTTTCTTTGGTTTATTAGTCGGAATTGTAATGAAAACAAGAAGATCAAAACTTAGGACCTGCGCATACTACTCCAATCATACACCATTAGGTTGACCCTAGTGGTTACCACTAGAAACCTTTTTGGATTATAATGATTAATGACAATGTAAGGTTTAAAAACAATGGATAAATTCATCACAATAGAAGATTTTGCACAATAAATTACAATGAAAAACAGTCAACACCATTTCATTTTTCAAAAAAAAAGAAAAAAATACCAAGCACTGCATAGATAATGAATATGCGAAGAGAATTCGACAATTTATCAGTTGCTAGTTTAAAATGTATGCGAACTAAGGAATGCAAATACAAATAATTTATTAAATCCTCTAACAGAACTTTAGGCTTTAATTTCAGAAAGCAAAGACACAAAAGACAAATGATCATGCAAAATCACCGAAATCCCAAAGAAATCTTATCAAAGTCTCCAATCTTTCCTCACTGAAAGATAACAAATGGAAACTAGTATTTTATACCCAATGGTAAGTCAGGCACTGGAAAAAAAAATGAAAATATGTTTAATTCATTAAAAGAAAATCAACATGAATTTCATATTGAATAATACCAGGCCTTTTATAATTCTGCCAGCACAATCATATTCTACTTGTCTCTCTGTTTGTCCCAAAAGAAGCTCCTTTGGAAGCTCTTCTTTGGATGCAGCATTTCCATACTTCTCCATTATGGCATTTTTCATTTGTGACGTCAACTTCTCTTTAATTATCTTAAAATTCTTATACAGCAATTCAGCTTGGGAAGGTGCAGCTTGCATGTGGATATCCTGGCCTTTCTCAAATGCTTCCCAAGCATGAATGTTAAGTTGCTTGAACTCCAAAGCTTGTCCACTCATTCTATATTGGTTATCTCCCTGCAAAAAATAAGAGTAAACACTACATCAAGTAAAGAACTTTCAGAGTTAGATGGATCTAAAAACCAAAAAAAATCCCCCAACTCCCACGATACTCACCCCATAGAACTTTTCATTAGGATCAGCATCAGGAAGGGGATCCTCTCGCATAGAACGGGTCTTTGGGTCATAATAAGCAGAATTGACATCAAGATTCAAAAGGTATTTTGCAATGTCCTCCCGTATACGCAAGTTTCTGAAGCAAACAAATAGAATCAGAATAACAATCACAAAATATGACATTTTTGGGGCAAGGGATTATGGTTTAGACACTGATTCTGCTCTGCTAAGTAGAGCAAACAATTTGGAACACAAATATAAATAGAGGAAACACACCTTACAGTTCCTGTACTGCCACCACCTGTAGTTCTAACGCGCTTCTCAACCTTGGCAAAGTCCACCTGTTTGCTCTCATCAACCTTAGCCTCATCAACCTTCAACACGTCTTCATCTTCTTCATCATCATTTAATTCATTTTCCTTATTTTCCTTATTGTTTTTCTCCTCCAATTTCTTTAATTGCTGTTCTTTTAAGTACTTCCTTCGTGCCTCATCCCTTGCCTCATATCTTTCTATGACACGTGCATAGGTTGCTGTATCATAACCATTCCATCGATCTCGCTTGCCATCATAATCAAGTTCAAATGTTTCAATCTTCTCATCAGGAGCAATATGCATGTTGGTCCATTTTGCTCCTATCTTTCGAGGCCTCTCCATGCATGATTTCGAATTATGCGTCATTGCTCCACAGCTTAAAGACAAATAAGTGGATGGAAACTAATGTCAATCACAACTAGTAACGATAATAAGTCAAATAACAGATACTGAGAACACAAGTTGAACAAAATAAAATATTGACAAAAAATGTTAACAACACCACATGTATTAAATCATTGCATATTTAATTTATATGAATGAATATTGGTGACTGGAAGACCTACCAAGAAAAAACAACCTCACCCAGGAAATAAAAGAGGAAAGGATAAAGAGAGGAAGAAAAAAACCATGAACTAGGGCAAGCTTCCTTCTATTTTAAGAACCATTTCTTTGATTAAGCCATTTTGTAATTAGCATTGAAAATTTACAACATTTTGACTTCATTTTTCATGTTTACAATATATCATAAATGCTTCTGAGGACAAAGACAATGACTAGAAACTTATCTTGCATGTTTAAAATTCTTGATTACAGAAACAAGATTAAGAGACACTAGACTATAATGATGAAAAGATCACATAACTAATATAATAGAAAGGCTACAAGGAACAAAATTCTAAGCTAAAGGTGAGGATTTCTATTTAACCCAACTATACTGTGAACATTATAACTAGATATCACATTGACATGAAATGATATAATAGATGCTAGCTTTAAAAGTAAACTTCTCAATAAACATATTGATAGCAACATCTAACAATTAATTAGTTATTTAGTTAGATCTAGTTAGTTAGAAAGAGAATTAACATGATATATGTTCAAATTGCAATTTTAGGTAGAGAAGGAGGAAGAGAGATGAAGGAGAATGAAACACTAGTTGATATTAACTGAGACATATTACCTATGTCTTGCTGTGCTTTATTTGTTTATAAAACCGAAAGCACTCACTTTTATTTATACTAATCATACACCTAATTAATTAGGAAAATAAATCATGATAAGATAAGGACATATGGAAACTACTCCGAGGAGAGAAAAAGAAAACAGAAAAACTAATCCTAGAGGATAATCTAACATATCATGAGAAAATTTTGGATATTTCCATGTATTCTAAAAATCCCCCCCTCGAGCTAAAGCTTATTAAGCTTAAAGCATGCTGTGAATAAACCTATAAATAAAATAAATCAAACAATATAATTTGAGACTGGATTGGAGAGACTAGGATGATTCCTTGAAAATATTTTACTGCCAATTGATACTTCTGGTAAAGTTACAAGACCAAGCTCATATTTTTTGGGAAAGTTGCAACTGCAAGTTGATGTCTCTCAGACAGTCATGGGGCCAAACAAACTGATGTCTCTAATCTCACAGTGCATGACTTGAACTAGAGGGCATAATGGAGTAGAGGAGGTCATGAGTTAACAAGAAGAGAATGGAAACCAACCAAATAGTAACGCAAAATGCTGGAAAAAAGTCATTAGTGCGAGATTAAATTGAGAGACAATTAATTTGAAAGTTGATACTATGAGAAATGATTAATTTGGAAGAAGAATCATGAAATTTAAGTAGAACAAAGCTACATTACACCAGGCTCAGCATTTTGATCAAACTGGAATAATATCACAAAAGTAGGTGTACTATGAAAGGACAAAATGACAAAGATAAATTCATTCACTGAACAATAACAATACATCATGCATGAGTTTACCAGAATAATAATCATTGCACCCCATTGCAACTACAGAAAACAAACCTGTTTTTTCTTTTCAGTTAAAATTCTTCATGCAGCAAGACACCATTTCCAGATAACTGCAGAGAGATAACAGAATTAGAAAATTTGGATACAAACAAAAAAGTCCACTTACTTTTCACATGCTCCCTTCCTGTACTTGTCTGCCTGAAATATTTTTGCACCTCTATCATACCAAGATTTTGTATAATTTGGATCTGATTTCCATTTCCTTTGATGTTTTAGACTCTAAACAAACAGAAAAAGCCACTCAGAATACAGAGCTTCACCATCATAACAAATACGGGGTTGAAAAAGGAAGGTAGATAGTGGGTCTATTTAGACAAACTTCTCCATAAACATAAACTAAAATTAACTTATTCATAAGTTAATTTGTAGAAGTTCTCTCATACAATTTCTCTTTAAAAAATTAAGACTTACAAATAAACTAATTTTAACTCATGAAAAAATTTATTTCATTTTTTCTTCTTATTTTTTTGCTCCTACAAGTTTGTCGGGAAAAGATTATCTACACAACCAATGTTGAGTTAGGCTACTTACAGGTTTCTCAGCATTCAAATACCATGGAGCAGAAGACATGTACTGAGGGATATGAGGGTTAATCTCCTTTCCATCTTCATCAACCTCAACTGGAGCAAGCCCAGCTTTACGTGCCTCTTCCAATTCAAGCTGTTTTCTGTGGTGCTCCCTAGATTTGAAAGTTGCTGCAACATGAGAGCAGGTGTTTATAAGCATGTCATTTTCCTAAGAATCGTCACAAACCTTCCCATGCAATGTATATAACATGACTCAGAGGTATTTACCTCAAAAAATTATTAATTAAGAAGATGGCATCAAATCAATTGTGAACTATTCAACACTATTCTAACATCGGAGCTAAAAATTTCTCACATTCAAAACACTCGTAAAATTTAAAGATAAATCATTCACTAGCTACATAAAGGCAATGGAGAAACCGTCCAGAAACACTACAGGGTGGTTGCGTCAAATGCAAAGCCATTTTCTGGGTAAAACATTTCGCGCCATTAAACGAAAACAGTATTCATTGAAATCTGAAGCATGAAAACCGGGAAAAAAAAAATGGAACTTTGAAAAGCAAGTACCTGATGCAGTTGCCATGTCTGATCAGAATGAGTCAATGAGAGAATGGCAGGAACGTAGAGACAATGTAGACGTATGGAACATTCCACAATGTTCGTGGACATTATTATTCAGACACTAATAGGGAAGTGGGCTTGGGCTTTCAACAGGCCTTCTGTTGGTTTATAAGCCCAAGCTTTTCCAAGTTGGCGATATTGCTTTTTTTTTTTGAAGCATTTGGGCCTGGAATTCGGAAAATTTATTATAATAATATAGTTACCTCAAAGATTTTGAAAATTTGATCTAGCAAAAAGGTTAAAAGAAAGTATTGAAGTGTTTATATAATAATACATTAGGATATTTTTTAAAAATGTATCAATAATTTTGGAATTTAATTTCTAAAATGATAAAACCAAAACGTAAAAAGGGTATTACTAGAATATAAAAAGTTAAAAAAAAAAAAACGGATATGAAGGATATGTGTGGGGGGGTGAAGCAAATAGAATCCCTAAAAATAATATGGCCATTTGTTCGTCCGATGACCCAATTTGACTGAAAAGTAAAAAAGAAGAATTTATTGGGCCCATTGACATCATCTAATTTTGTGAGGAAAAAAAAGAGGGAAAGTAGTAAAATAAAGTTAAAAAAATAATGGAAAATTTTGAGTCTTGATAATTATTATCCCAAACCATCATCACACTATCGAGGAAAATTTATTTTACTACAACAAATACTTAAACTTACAAATAAGTGGATTGACATTTTTTTTTGTTTACCTTTAAAACATCTTTTTCTTGTTTTCGTGCTAAAATCACAATGCATATATTTTATCTTGCTTTTCCTCGAGCATTTTATCACTTGATTTCAAAGTCTCTCAAAAGCTAAAGTTTATAATTGACCTCTTTTCTTAATTTCTCAGTCAAAATTATATCATGTGCAAATAACATGCATTTAGCTAGGGATAACCTTTTATAAGTTCCCAATGAGGAAAACAAAGACCGAATTAAATAAGGACTTAATGCTGAGTTTTGATACAAACATATTATTGAAGGGGGAATATTTACTCTTATCTTTACAAATTTCTACAAACATGCATATTGGTTTATATTTTCATGAACTTCTCGTAATATATATATATATATATATAAATATTTAAGTCAATAAAAACTATATGTTAGACTCACTTTCTTTACTTCAATGTCTTTCCATTAACCATCCTAATAGATAAATAACTTTAGTTATAAATCTTAATATAAGTTGATTTTCTACAATCCCTGTCTATACTTTTAATTGTTGTTCAATAATTTTTTCTCATAATTTCAAAGTGTATTTTATTTTTTTTAATTTATCTTATATAATTTACAAAATGTTGAATATCTTGTCCTTATACATTGGAAAAAATACTCATTTTTTACTCCTCAAATATTTTCTATATTTTTAAACCTTATTAAATAATTTAGTGAATAAAATAATATCTTATTCCCTTGGATATTTTCAAATGAATAGAAATACTAGCAGAATTTATAACAATTCGATAGGTCATTACACTTATTATAGATATCAACAAAGCGAAAGCTAAAACATATTAAGTCATCTAGACAAATCAACATCAGAGGTATCGGGCTATTTATGCATAAGGTAAAATATATGAAATATATAACTTATAAAATCAAGAACATATACTATATACATCATAATCTAAACCAACTACATAATGATCCTTTAGTTGACCTGTTAAGAACTCCAAAAATATGACTTCATCAAAAGAGTTATACAAAACAAGTCATCTTCAACATTACTCGACACTATCATTCCAGCTAACCATCTAATATTACCTTGTTCACATACCAAATATGGCCATAGCAGTTCCAACCACGAGAAAAAAGAGGGTAAACTTACAAAAGAAATACATACAACAATACGACAAGGGCAACAAAAACATATATCAACAATAGCACACTCACAACTTAACAACGTATTCAACATTTATCAACTTCAATGTACTCAACATCTTAAGATATACATAGATATATTGATAGCTAATGCGTCGTCACGCATATCAACTAAGGAGATTTCCTACAATAAAGGTGAACAGTTTAAGCAGATTGACCCATTTGAACCATAACATTAGACTTATCTTAGCCCAAAAAGGTACAATACAATGTTAGGCCATAAAGAGAGTCGTGTATAGAAAACTTAGTTTGATTTCTCAAGTTTTGTCACTTAAACTATGAAGTATAATATTGTATCATGATAGAACAATTTGGGTATAAGTCTATCATAACATTAACTTGCAATACTAAATCACTTTATAAGATTAGTCCACCAACTTTTCTCCCAATACCACAATCCTCCAATACTTAGTTAGAGACTAAGTTTTTGACTTTGTATTTTACTCGATTAGTCATTCAACTAGAATATGGTCCAACTATATCCATATCAGTCCACATAGACCCTAAAGGGAAACCAACTTTTAAAATAACATAATTCACCTTTAGCATTTAGGTATCTCATTTAAGACATGTAACTCAACCACATGTCCATAGCTTCACAACTTAACAGCTATACAACATACAATTTACATTTTAACATTATTAATTCATCTATCAACTTACAATATAGGTATTCATCATCACATATGAATATACATACAACTTAATCATCAATATTCAATTATAATTCATTATAGAACAACAAATCAACAACAAGCATTTTGCGGTCGATGCCTCAAATGGTGTTTGACGCCATCGAGATAAAAAGTTCCTTGTCTCGCCCATATTTGGTGTCACACTAACCACACCCAACATAGTTGAGATAAAGAGTATTCCACTTTCTCAAGGCCAACATGGAAGGATCTACATCTGACCTCAACGTGTAGGGTTCTCTTAGAGGTCGCACGCTCGGTGTTGTTTAGATCATGCTTGGTGTTAATCTAACTCAAGGCTATTCATTCTTCTCATGCCTGACGTCACCAATCATGCTCCAATGTGGAGAAAGGGGAACCCTCTAGTTGTGTTGTGCCCAATGGGGTGAAGGCACACCTAATCCAACACCAATTATGCACTTATGCAAAACTGACTTTTGACCAAAATCCTACACACAACAACCCAACAACCAACATTTTACAACACACAACAACTATATTGTACCTGTCTGAGGGTACACTCGTAATCTTCAGGTGGGTAGAGGGCCGAACGGGAGCTTCAGGTGGATGCTTCAGAGGGGGGAGGTACCTGCAAAAGGCACTCCAACGCTCAAGTCAGGACAAGCACGAATCTCTAGGATAAATAATTGAATAGTGACATACCTCGTTATGTGTGACCTATTTATAATACCTGACATGGGCCTGAACATGGTGGGCCTTCTCTAACACTTACCAAATTAGGTAATACGATGTTAATCGGCGGGTTATGCCTTAATTGTGCTTTGTCCTTTGTTAATCATGATCGTCATTCTAATTATTCTCTCTGTTGACCTTCGGCCGAGCCGATACGGACGACCGAGACGTCATCTTTGGCCGAGCCGATAGGGGATGGATGCGGTTCTTAGTCCCTTACCGAGTCAGAGTGATATCTGAGCTATGTCGATATATGATAGGATATGACGTGCTGATCCACGTGGCCGATCCTTGTGGCCGATTGCTGAGCTGAAGTGATCTGAGTTGTGTCAATATACGATAGGATATGACGTGCCGGTCCACGTGGCCGATCCACGTGGCCGATAGGATCCTTCCGGTACACAAGCCCCCCAGCCTTAAGGAGTGAAACGACGCAAAGGGTAGAAATGGTCTTGTGATGGTGACAGTTGGGTATGAGTGTAGAATTGTAACCGTTCGGGACTTTATTGTGGGAATTTGAAGTGTCGTAACCGTTGGGTAATAATGACGGGGATTTGAAAGGTTGTGGCTCGTGGATCGTTGGATCAATTTGATCCAACGGTTCCCAAGGGATGTGACGGTTCGTATGCGCTTCCAGAAAGCGCTATAAATAGGCGTGGTGGGGACCAACATTGATGTGTCTATTGGTTATAGCTTGCATTTGCTCCGAGCCGACGTAGGGACCACGTTTGAGCGCTTGTTGTCAACTGAGATCGACTTCGCGAAAAGGTACGTTTCAATGGCTGATGTTGAGATAGATGTAGATGATAGGGTGTCTCAGGTCGACTCTGCTAGGGATAGCAGTTCAGGTTCTACCGGCACGGGTTCTCGTGGGCCGGCAGAGGAGCAGGGCATGTCGGCGTCGGCGTCGAATAGGTCGGCTAGTGTGGAAATCGTTGAGGGGTTTGAGCCTTCACAGAGTGTGGAAGAGGCTTCTTCTCTCAAAGTGAGTGAAGGCCGACCGTTGTTAAGTCTCAATTATACTTCTTTTTGATGAGACTTATTGAACAATTCCACTCATCCTCTGAACCATTGCAATATAATTGTTCTCTTTTTGGTTCATTTTGTGTGCAAATATAACTAACCCAAATTTAGCTAACAATACCTTAATACACCTCATTTTTGTGCAGGTATTGAGCTAGATAATTGAGGATTGGAAACACTTAGGATTGGAAATCTAAGAAGTTAAGGAGCAGAAAAGAGGTTCTGCGTCGGGCGCACGATGACCCGCGTCGGGCGAGCAAAACAGAGTATCTCACCTCTGGAAGCCATTGCGCCGGGCGTAAATTGAATTGCGCCGGGCGTGTCCTAAGGCAGAGAGTATTTGGAAGGCCATGCGCCGGGCGCAATAACTTATGCGCCGGGCGCGTGAACCCTAATCTGACTCCCCATGCTCGTATTTGAAGCCATTTTCGAGGGTTTTTCCCTCATTCACGCAGGGGCGCCTCCAGGAGCTGCGAAAGGGATTCCTAGGGCTTGGGATCGTTCGTGTGTGGATCTTTCCTTCGGTTCTTCATTTCCTCTTCCATCTCTATTTTTTATTTACCCTCATTGTTGAGTGGTTCTATCCATTTTTGTGGGGTTAGATGTAACCAACGTACTCTATTGTAATCCTTACATTTTTAATGATATATATACATGTTGTTTCATTCTTTGTTGTGTACGTTTCGATGTTTAATGCTTGCTTTGGATTGATCACCCTTTGCATGATTTAAGGTTCCATTGAG